CTAGCTACGGGAAGTGTGCCTTATGTTCAAAAAGAGCATATGTTGTTTTGGAAACGATGTCAGTACACGTTTCATTTTTACATCCAACTGCACACTCAGTATTTTGTACAATGTCTCCCCATAAAATGTGCTGTTTTTACTGCAAGAGTAAACTATGCATTGCCGAACGCTCAGTTTGCACCCAAATTTAGTGTAAGCCGTCTGAATCAAATTACAAAATTTCAGAGTTGTTGCTGTTTTATTCAAACATTAGAAGTTACTTTCCCAAGCAATTTATATAGGAAAATGGCCACACATAAATACATGGAAATAAATTACATGAATTTACAAAGTAGTCCTTACTTTGCCACTGAAACTTACCGAAAATCATTTATTTGTTCAGAAATATTGGCCTCTGGTCTGGACTGATAGCACTATATTTGAGCGGAGACCGAGTGTTTGGAAATGCGTAGTTTATTCTTGCGTTGAAGAAACACTGTAAATATATTTAGGTGACGAGCCGTATCAATTGACGGGCTCCAGCTCTGTGACATACATTTTCGTGAAAGTATATGCTCCTGTTTTGTCACACATGTACCATGTGCCACAACATATAGATGGTGAAGCCGAAGTTCCCTCATGGTGTGGATGCCGTACCGTTTGTAATATAAACATGTAGAAAGGGGAAGATATACTTTTAAATTCACAAGGATTCGAAGAATGGTGAAATATTATCCTTAGTTCCTGATGGTATTGAATAATTGCATTGCCCTCATTGTAAAGGATAGCCAAGTGTTCTTTGCCTCAATATTCTTAACATTTATTTCTAAAATGAATGGTACCAGCTGACAGCTAGAATGATCAACTTACAACTTTCCTTGGGAAATAAATCGTGCAAATATCTGTCGTGATGAATGAACAAACAAAGCCTCGGCTCAATACTATAATTTCCACATGGGGATAGGTAATGTTGATAAAAATATTTAACAGAGAAATAATAAAAAAAGCTAACCTATAGCCTGTCTCAGGTTATGAAACGCGGCCCAAGACACTTTCGCAAAGCTCCCTGGACACCATTATTAGTGGTATCCTTCTTTCCACTCGCCTCATTTCCAGCGTTTGCTCTGCTCAAGTGGGAAAAATAAAGGGCTTTGTGGTACGAGCCTATCCAGCGTTTCTTATCTTGCTAATATCTATAGTGCTAAACTCTCTTGCAACTCCTTAAACATTAAAAGTTCTTGAAGGGCTTCTTGGACCTTCGGGCGCATCAGAGACACCATCCGCGAAGGCCGCCGGGACCCTTCCTCGTGGTTCGTGCCGACGAGTCGTCTGCAAGAAACGCTATGTTAAAATGCGAGACAGGTTTAGTTATAGGAAAACCTATAACCTCTTTTAACTTATGCATCTTTAGTTTGTGCTCCTATCTAAACAAACTTATTAGCTTTTCATTTATTAATTTTTTGCTTCAGTAGAACTTCAAGTATGGTAAATATATTCATCTGAATTAGTATGTTACATCCTCTGGAAATCTACCTACAGTGAATCTCCTGATGTTGAAAATCACCCTAAATCAAACATCTCCTGAAGTAGGCCGGGCTCAGTGAGTACCGAAATAGCATATGCCCTGTGACCATGTACACCTTTAGAACTTAAAAACTGCTCTGAGTTAGACACTTGGAGTGCATACGGTGAGTTGTACTAGTTTGAGCTTTTACTACGGTTATGTTTATGGTGGAAGGTGAAATTCAGCTCACTAATCAACGTCATCTTGTTTTAGATATAATATTCTGGCATTAAATCCTCCCTTTCTGGTTGAATTGATGAATATTCTACGGTAATGATTTCAGTGATGTGTGGGGATGGAATCTTTTTGAAGCACCCTTTATAGCAACCAGAAGTTCCTTTTGAAGGAGAGAAAAAAAACATTCGTAGCACAAGTTATTTAAATATAATTCATTGCAATGCATATATGACGATAAGATTAGCTATTGTCCTATTGAATGAAAAGACGACGTCTTTCTCACTTTTCTAATTATCTGAAACCGCTCATGAGGCTCATTGCGTGGCAGAGAGTTTAATTCCCTCCAACTGTCAACTAGCTAATAAGTTTCAAAGCACTGGATACAGCAACAAGATTGTTGTGAGAACTATTTTACTCGCTACGTTTTGTTATCTGTGTTTTGCTCAATAGTTTGTTGCAATACAAGAAGGTGGGATGAGGGAAAGGAAGGCCTGCGAGGAGGAAGGAAACGGAACGCTGGAGAGAGGAGGATGTTCTCCCTTCTCCTCTCCATCGTCCCGTCTGCCTCTTCTTCCCTAGCCTTCCTTTCTGTCGCACCACCTTCTTGAGCTGTAACTTACTATAGAGCGCGTGAAAGAGCGCCTCCAGGCACGTGCTTGGCATTGAGTGGTACGGCATTTGGTTTTAGGCTTTCCCGTTTATAATAGGAGCCATTAGTAAACCGTTACCGCGTTTCCCGCACCGCTCTACCGGAGACTTTGAAACATACTTTTAAGCTCGTGCCTGGACAATATCGTGACCACGGGACGCGCGCTTAAAAGCATGCTTCTAAGGCTCCGGTAGTGCGGTACGCGGTAATGGTTTGCTAAAAGTCCCTGATAATTCCAGTGCCAGCTTTTTTAATCCGAGCGTTCCTGAATTTATTTCAGCTGTACTTCAATTGAATCCAAGTGGTCATCAATTTTATCCAAGCGCAAATAAATTTAATCCAAGTTATTACCAAATTAATCCTAACACAATCGATTTTAAAATCGAAAAGCCACTAAGTTTGATCTGTTTATATCAGTGAATTAACAAGAACTGCTGCTCACCTTTCATAAACTCTTTTAGAGGTCTGAAGTGGTTGCTAGTAATTAATACATTTTTAATGTACAGCGTGTCCCCGCCCCGAAAGTTTTCATATGAGCTTTTAATGATTGCGTTCTCATATTCAAAAACCATATCTTCGCGGTATGCTTGCGCTTTGTCGCGGTTTTATCAATGGGCGTGAACTGCTCGTTTAAATCGCCTGAAAGAACTAGTGCTTGCGTCGTCCCGCGATAGCAGACTTCGCATGTCGACTAAGCGATCTTTCAATGAAACGTCGTTCGATGAGCTGATTGTAAGCGGAGTTCTACCTTCGCGTCCACGCAAAGGGAGGGTCATTACACCAGGCACTTACATTGAGCCGTGGTACAGAGGGAAGGTGACTGGGGGCCTGTTTTTTAAGTTCAACCTCCTCGATAGCTCAAAGAGGGGTTCGGGCGTCCCCAAGATGACCGAGGACCATGCCGAACTTCCCTGAACAATAGCAGCAAAATTAAAAGAAACAGAAAAGAAACTGAAAAGGAAGTCTATCTTATGTGTTGAGAAACGAGGGAGAGCAGGACACGAGAGCGTGAGGGGAAGTCAGAAGGCCGAGCTCTGGTTGGAATGATTAGTGGGCACACCTAAAGCTGTAGCTCCCTTTGTGTCCACTGCACTCGTCGAACAACGTAAACGTTCAGCGTTTGACTCTCGTCTTCGAACGCGTTCGGCGTGTGCAGGGCAGAAACATTCAGGTAGCCTTAGGTCTACCCACTAGTCAGTCCAAGTAGAGCTCGGCGTTTTGACGTCCCTGCTCCCTCTCGTCTCCCCAATTCCAATCTCAAAGCTTTATCTTCGGCATTCGCTTCTGCTGAGCGAGAGTTCATGCAGCTGAGGGGACGAAACTGAGAACCAAAAAATAATGCGAAACAATATGAATATGTTATTAGAGCGTTGGAACGCGCTCGTATAACTGGCCCGCGGCCCGCGGCCCGCGTTTTTGAGACTCCTAATATATGCTCTCTATAATGTTTTTTTTTTATTTATTTCAGTGTTTTTGTAATCTATCCCGAAACTACGCGTCACTGCTAAACGACAGATGTTTTTGACAACCTCAGAGACTGAGTCAGGCTGTTCAGTCCCTTTCTAGGAGCGAAACTGCTTTCGTGTTATTTATTTCAATGAAATCAAATCCCGAATCGTTAAATCGATTTGAAAGGCGCGTTTCAATTTTTTTTTTGCATTTTATACTCATCTCATCAATGCCAAATTTATGAGCTCTTAAGAAATGATGCACTGACCATCGATCAGAAAGTGATGACTATAGGCTCTTTCAGGCAGCTGTGCATGAGCGCCGCCATAACCCTTTGCTGCCTGACCCTCTTAACATTTGCCCAGAGTAATAGAACTTTCAATAAATAATTGGAATAACTCTATTGGAAGAAACCCAGAAGCAAAAAAAATATTTATTGAACAGAACAGTTTTTGTGAGTTGGGATATGTGTGTCCCGTCAGTACTACTGGCCTATAAAAAACACGAGGTTCTTAGGAAATCTCGTGAAAAGCTGCAAAGAAATTCCTTTCTTTAGATATGCAGAGAAACACTCCGCAACAGGTGCATTTGCTGAAAGGCCATGATTCTTGCTTGCGCTGTGCACAGACCTCGCACCTTCCACGTTTTTCGCCAAAAACAGGCCAATGCGAGCCGAGACTACTCGTTCACACATCTGCGCACACTGAGTAGGAGGCTTTGCGCCGCTTGAGACACTGTGCACCGTCTTTGCTACCTGAATCCCTTTTTGGACTAGACGACTGTCCCATGGTGAGGAGTCCCATCACAACGGAGCGCTTGTAGTCCAGGTAGGGGATCTTTTCGTTGAACTCACAGTAGGCGACATAGCTGTTTACTAGACATATGTCCAGGAAGCCAAAAAACAAACGGTGCCACCATTTCTTAGATTTTCTGTCGGTTCCATATATACTCCGTAGTATGTCCGCCTTGTCAATACCTCCCATGAGCATGTTGTAGTCCGAGAGCGCAGTCGGGCACGAGACCGTTATTTTTGTGCCGTCTCGCTCCGTTCTTTCCACAGTTCCCACTTCACAGCCATGGTAGTTCGAAATAATGTAGACTACCTTGTTGTCTTTCCATTTGAAGAGAGTTATTCCTTCCTTTGTAGTTTTGAAGTCGTGCTCTCCCGGTGTCAAGCTCTTGTCAGAGCGAAGTTCTGGAAGCTGCCTTCGGTTGCTCCGTATTGTGGCACAGGCACATGTTTTTTTCCATTTTCAACTTCGCCATCAGTGGCACGGAGGAGAAGTAGTTGTCGAAAAAAAGTGTGTAGCCCTTTCCTAGGATCGATGAAGGAAGATCAAGAACCACGCGTTCCCGCAACCCAAACTCAGACTGAAGGTCAGATGTTTCTAGTTTCTTTCCTTGATACACCTGAAAGGTCTGGATGAAGCCCGACATGTCTCCCAAGCACCAAATCTTGTAGCCGCGTTTGATCGGTTTCATGGGGTTATACTGCTTCATTGATGATCTTCCTTTGAAGAGTATGATGGATTCGTCGACACAGGCCTCTCGTCTCAGACCATAGGCTAGTTGAAACTGCCTATTCAGCCCATCTATCAGCGGTCTCAACTTGTAGAGCTTGTCGTTGCACTGACTGGATAACAATGAATTATCATTTAGGGGCAAGTTCGAAAGTATCCTGGAGAACTTGTCCCTCGACATAGTTCTTGAAACCAATGGCACCCCAAGGTCTGGGGAACCTGACCAGTAGTCCCTCCAAGAGGGATGTTGATGATATCCCATCAAGAAATTGATGCCCAGGAAGCCAAGCAGCTCTGTGGTTGACAGCTGGAGGTCAATGCCCTTTTGCGTGCCATAGAGGTTGCTTTGAAAAGATATTTCCTTTTGCAGTGGCACGTGAAGCAGAGCTAGAAAAAATTCCACTGGTGTTGAGCAACCACAGAACACGTCTTCGGAAGCCCCTTCCTGTTCCATGAACTCCGGTCTCTAGGTCACGTGCTGTCTTCGACGCCACTCGCAGCGTTTCTGATGAAAGGAAAACGCAGAGACTGCGGCTACTTCTTCTGGACTTACACACGAGTCTTCAGAGGCTGGGTTGTTATTGACTCCGCCTGTGCTATGCGATTCTGCTTGGTTGTAGTCCGCCCCTGGCTCTGAGGCGTCGACCAGACCTACTTGGTCAAGCAACTCTTGCAGATCACGTGGGCAGTTAGTCTTCTCTGGTTCCCTATCCGGGTCATCAGAATCAGACTCAATATCCGTGTCAGCTGAATAATCGCAAGGTACGTCTTCAAAAAGGAGCTTGTCGATTTCATCACGGCTAAGTGAACTTCCACCTGCTGCCATGCTGAAAAAATAAACAGTAGTAGTATTTAGTAATAGCAATATTTATTCAAAACTCCGTCAAACGTCGAACAAAATAACATCAGCCTAATTCGAAGCCTAAACTAAGCAAACAAAACAAGCTTTTTTAGGGCGCGAAAAACTCTGCAGCGCGTTCCATTTTTGTCTTGTAGTACTGACGGGACATGAATGTCCCAGAGACCAAACATTCGCCTAATTGAAAAAATTTAGCCGGGCGGCGCTCAATATTTATACGTGCTGCCTCAGAAGCTATTAGTGAATGCACATATGGTCGCGCAATAATGTAGAATAAAAATTACTTACGTTTTCGATGACTTTCGTTTCAAGAGTCAAAGAGCCCGCGCAAACACGCCTTCAGCCATCTTGAAAATTGTGTTCGCGCGATCGCAGCGCCAAAACGGTGCGATTTTGAAATGCAGCCAATGCCACCAGTGTCCCGACAGGTTTTTGCCGGGATATGGTGCATGCAGGAGATAATAAAAAATCGCAAACTTTTGGGACACATGTGTCCCGTCAGGCGGGAAAGGCCATAACCGACCTTCAGTTTTTGTTTGTTCTTGCTACGTTCACTTCACTTCATCATTGCCACAGCAAGACAGGTTATTGCCACTTTAGATGCTACTGTGTCCTTCTCCCCAGCATAGGCCTTTGTGGAGGCTCGTCAACGCCCGCTTCGGTGGCTCGGCATCTCGGTAAGACAAGAGAAGATCGGCTATGGCGACTCAATTTGACGCTTGTTTAAAGCGTCTGCAAGGAACACTGAGTGCTCCGCATCATGGATGTCGCTCCGTGGATTCGGCAAAGCCACTCGGCACAACAACAGACCAATATATTTTGTTTTTGCTTGCCGACGATGAATAACCGGGTACGACCTAGGTTACTTTACGCTTTACGCAAGTTATCCCTACCATTTGCTTTTTTTTCAAACGTGTAGCTAACCGTACACAACACCTGCCGTGGCCTTGACGGCATTAATGTTGGTCGAAAAGAGATTTCTCAGCCCTTGAAAGATCGATTTCAGCTTTTGAGTGAGTACTCCCTTTACAGAGGTTAATTCACGACGACCAGTGCTGCCACCCACCAACACTACAAAACGAAAAGGAATACTGTGATTCGGGTTCCACGTTTTCGAACAAATCTGAATAACGCCAAAAAACACTCACTGATTAACTTTTGGTAAATTCGGATTTATTTGATATACTTCTAATTTCGATGTGCCCATAACTCCCCCCCCCCCCCCCCCCCAAACCAAAAAAAATAAGAAAATACTGTATTTTACAGTTTAGTTTGATCAGCGCACAGGGTCAATGGTCTTGGGAAAATGCACCAAGCTTCTCTTTAAAACCTCGGACTATAGCCAAAAGGGGTCTTACCGCTTATCTCGTCAAGGTTCCTTCGGGACAACAGGTCATTGTACTCTTGGGTCACGACAAAAGCCACTATATTGGTTTCCAGTTTGGGCCATACTATTTGTGCTTTAGAGGAAGTAGATCTGTTTTTGTAATAGTGAAAGCTGTGGACCATAGAGAGAGATAGCATAAAATGGGGAAGAGGGGCATTTGAAACTTTTCTGTTATATCCTTTTCCACTCCATCTCGCGCGGCCGTGGGGTAGGTTGATGGAATAGGATGGGATGACTACGAGCTTCCCAACGACTCCCTCCAGGAGTTTATTGATTTTAGGACATCGACGTTTACCCGGTGGTGGAATGAATTAGTATTGCCAATGGTAGTGGCACTAACGCCAAATCCCGCTAAATAAAGTATACTTTAGTACTGTAATAAGGTGCGCCGTGAACTGGGTCAGTTGTTTGATGTTATACACGACAAAGGAAACAGCTCAGAAAACGCGGACTACAAAGAAGAACATACACGACAGGACAGTGCTGTCCTGTCGTGTTTGTCCTTCGTATTCCGCGTGTTCTGAGCTGTTTTCCCCACCACGTAGTAATAGATGCAAGCGCGTTTTATTTTTCTGTTTATCTACCATACGTTTACACCCGGAAAATATTTATTGATTTTTAATGAAAAACACTGCAGAATTAAACTGCGAGTTTCAGAGAATTGATAATAAAAAAAAATAAGGTCCGATAAACTCCTAATTTTCGGCAAAATAAAAACTCCGAAGAAAACAATCCGAATTTGACGAAAAATAAACTACGAAAACACGGAATCCTATCTGTGATACAGAAACTCTCGTCGCTCGCGCCCTTCTATTATGTGCTTTACGGGGAAGCGAACACATGACTACTAATAACTGCAGTGGAGCGGGTTGTTTTATTTTGTTGCCGAAAACAATTCCAGCGTGAACGTTTACTTCTTACTAGGAGATTCACCCCATGTGCCGCTCAAAATACCTTCTGATCAAAAACATGACCGAGAAAAAATCGACGTACTGGTAACATTATTTATTGCTTAGGTGGTCATTGAGAAAATTCGTACCTTCAAAACGACGATTTTAAAAGATGGAAGCGCGGTCTACCAAGTCGGTGATGGGGCTAGTGTGCGCACTGATCTTCACTGTAGCAGGCCGGAGCGCGAATCGGGACTTGTCTTGCTGGGATCGAGCAGCGCCCCAGGCAGCCATCACTGGACGCCAGCTAATGCATGGGACTCTATGGGAGAAATGGGAAACTGCATTGTCGTACCTTGTTATATCGTCCTTGACGATGAAACATTTATTGTGTTTTACCAGAATGACAGTTAATATTCCGGGCGCAAATGTCAAACGCGTTTGAATACCAAGCTTTTTTAAATACATGTTTTGCGGTTGAGGGTCGAGGGTTGCGACTTTGTTAGGCGTAAATTGTGATGCGGTGCAATGCGACAAGGGTTTCCGAGAGTCAATGTGGAGTCGTTCGTGTTCTCGAAGTCATCAGAGCTTAGCAGACAATAAGTTAGAAGGCCTTTACAGGGAATATTCGCATCGTTTCCAGCGCTTGTACAAAGTACTGCCGGTGCAACCTTTTGCTTTGAATTGCAGTGAGGGCTTCAAATAACATGTCGTTCATTTGTTTAGCGTGTCATTTATTTAGCAGTCGAAGGAAGTGACGCCGGCACAGTCGGCGGCGCTCCGGCATATCTGATTCTTTTAAATCGGCTTTCGAACGCTTGACAAAGACGGATTCGATCTTTAAACACTCGATATAATGATCGCAGCACATCTCGAAATACTCGCCTTCGAGCACCACATACAAGATTCAATATTCCTAGATTTTTTTTGTATTTCTCCCATAGAGTTGCGTGTATTGCGTGGTGTCAAGCAATGGCCGCCTGTAGTGCCACTGATTGGCTCCCGATCCGTGATCCAGCCTACTTCAACAGGTATCAGTGCATATGTGTTCATGTTGATGGTAGCAACTGTTGTGAATGTGTATGTTCTCGCTGCATGTGAACTGTACTGTACCGTATGTAGTGGGACGCAAAGTGTATGATTGTGTATTATAAAAAAATTTCTTATCGCTATAGTAAAGCAATGAAAAACAATTGGGGGCTATGAATTTGACTGTACCTACGCCAATTAGCTTAGACATTTGGAATTAATCTTCCTGTGCTTGCCCCGTGTCGTGGCTACCTATTTAACCTTCTTTCACGTTTTGCGATATTTTGTAGACCGAGCAACGAGCCAAGTAAGGTGCTTTGAATCAACTCTTTCGGGAAACGTTTGGCTTCGCGGATATTTTGCCACAAGTCCTCCTTTATGTGCTGTATTAACGCAAGAAATGTGTCGCGGGGAATCGCAAAGGTGAGACGTGACGTATGTCCGTGACCGGGTTTCGGTTGTCTCCGTTTAAGATCGCAGTGTTGAGAACGAGACGACTAAGTGACTGCGTTCGAAGCGCGTTTCCTTACCTGCGTGGAACGCCGGCTTCAGTGATAAATACGGTTCATGAAAAGCTCGTGTTATGTTTTCCTTTGCTACAGCTCTCGGTCCGAAAGCATGCACTTGTTTGGATCTGTGCGAAGCGGTTGACTGCGTTTCTCCCGATAGCTTCTTAGTGGGCCTGCATAGGGCCGCCAGTGGTGCGAGATATCTGCCTGTCCGAAATCTATGCTAAGTATTTTCGGATGAATCGCGGCCACGTTCCACGTAAAGGCTGTCGATATTCGTAGCGTCCTGGCGTCCTCGTTAAGTTTTACTGACCTCGATTCACTCGATTCGGAGCCGCCATATTGTTACGCAGGCGAGGGAGGAACTTGGCTTCCCTGTTTGCAGGAACGAACGTTGCTCTCTTTATAAAAGAACACGAGGGACAAGAACGTTCCTTCTTTTATAAAGGAATATACCCTTTTTTAATTATAACTATATTTTACTGGAACGTCAATTCAGGAGAGGCT